ACCCACTAAGGCACTCAACAGTGAAGGGGCCAAGCTCCCCTGCGGAGGAGCTTGTACAATTTGAGGTCTTCTGCCAAGCAATGCATTTTTAGCCTTTATGAGAGAATGTGACTGCATTTTTCTTCTAAAAGAAAGCATAGTACATTGCACAAATGACAATCACAAATCACAATCTACAGTCTAACACGGCAGAAGAATACTTTCRAACACTAATTTTACATACAGTGTTGGGGACAGTATGGTTTTCAGAAAACACAGGAAAGCGGGCTTTTTGTTTGACTTTTCTCACAGATGAGAAAATGCTAATATACGTGGTTCAGGAATGAAGRTGTTTAAATGAAGTAAACATTGTTCTGAACAAGTAATTTCCCCTGGGGTCATCCTTCTGCACTTCCCTGTTGGTCACAGTGGTTTGGATCAAACCGAGGCTGAAGTACACAAGGGAGAAAGTGCAACAGTGACCTCTTGCATCCCGCTTCAATTACTCAACCACTCTGCCCTGTAAGTGCAATCAGTCCTAGCATGTTAAGCACACGTGTCCAAGCACTCAACAAGAATTGTTGAGCACACAGCCCTTTRTAAAAACAAAGCTAAAAGTGCATTAAAAGTCAGAGCCTCCATTAAGTGTTTCTAAAACTTTATTTATTACCCCTAGGAAACCACAGGTGCTAAAGGGTATACTTCTTTCTGTTCAATCCTGGTAGCCCTGTAAGAAAAATTTAAAATGTTTCATCTTTGTCAGTACTTAGAATATCCTACAGTAGCAGAAACATCAGATGTTCAGCTTAGCTTTATTTGGGCCAATTACTGTTCCCCATTATGTAGGCATCATGCATTATTAGATTTCCATTCTTATTTATTTTTGTAGCATTTCTCCCAATTTCTTCTCAGGAATGCCACTTTACAGTATGCATGAAAATACTGTTTGAGGTTTTTTGTTTATCATTTAGAAAGAGCACAGCTATTTGTCTTCTTCACTTCCTTCCCAAATTATCTTTTAAAACCCTTCAAAATTGTATTGATGAAGGGCTACAATTCCCCTTTGTTATTTAAACTCCATATTATTGTTTTGACTATTACATCTACAACACATTCACATTACCTTGATCTTCTCCATTCTTTATTAGAGACACTTACCTACAATAGCCCAGATAACATATTTATCCTCTCAGAGTCACAATAGTTAGTCACTGCCATATAGGGGCATGTGACAGTCATGTTCATGGACAGTCACAACCACTAYATTCGCTATATTTGCTGCTCTCACAACAAGCAACAGCACACACCAATTCCTTGAAGAAACTCCTATCCTGATTCCCTCTTCCCTTCCTGGAAGCTGCTGTACAGCTGTGGTCAAGTGCAAAGACATTCAAGCTTATCCAAATGTCTCAATCCTGTTTTCTCCTCTCACAGGGAAAAAGACTAGCAAGACRAAATGAAAATATTCTGTGGGTTGAATCTGATCTAAACTATCAGCTGCATCATGAATGGGAACATATCTTTTTTCTCATTTATATTTAAAATACTAAGGTGTCTGTGCAGAGACCATTTATCTTTTGCTCTTCACCCAAACTTTGGCAGCATCTGTTAAGGTTGGATTTTCACAGATGGAACTTCTAAGTCAAAGGGTCAAAAAAMCATATAATTAAGCAGCAAAGCAGTTCAAGATCTCTACACTTTAAATTGTTTCACAGAACAAAAGTCTATATATGGATGCTTGTATGCCTGTAAATAAGTAAGGCAGCTTGRCTGATACTGACTTCTGAGTGTTCCTCTGGGCAGACATAAATGGAAATGTTAAAGACTTCTACTCTTTAATGTTAGAGACAGTTACTCTTTAATGACTTAAATTACTCTTGGAAAGACAGACTTGCTTTTAATTTCATGGTTCAACGTTAGTGGTGGTGTAACCAAACAAGAGCAATGGGATTACACCAGGAATTATCTCAGTACATTTCAGATACAACACAACCCCAAAAAGATTCCCTTTTTTAGAAACAGTGCTCATTAAATGTACTTTATTTACATTTAAATCCAAAAAGGTACAAAAGAATCTCTTGACAGCTTAATTTATATATTACTTTGATTGACAGGCTTGTACCTCATGATAGTTATATATAGCATAAAAATCTTCTAAAATTTTCTTATTTTACACATTTAATTACAACCCCTATATATATGTCCCTCTTCCTGTAARTAATTACTTGACAAAGGAATATATCATCTGGTTTATTGTGAGGGAAGTTTAATGGACTCTCTAAATTATAAACTGTATGGCATAGAAAAGAAAAACAGACTATATTCAGAACTATGGCAAATGGAAGCAGAATTGCATTTTAAATGCATTTCTTAAATTAATGCGATTATTTCACAACAGAAAAAATACTAGTGCAATTTTATCAATATTGATGCAAGTCTGTAGATGTTTGGAATCAAGATGTCCTTACCTACAAGAAAAAACAAAGTAATAAAGAACACTATCATTATGGTGTTACTTAGACAGACAGCTGAAATTCAATGACAGATTTTGAAATGCAATTCACAATTATATTTACGAACAGGAATTCA